ATTTCTGTGACGACTTTCTCACCTCGTCCCTTACCTGTGGAATCGCTTCACACCTGGAGCCAAAGACCAAAACTCCAACCCCAAAACTGACACTGAAACCTTCATCCAGGCAGGAAAAAAGGACAAATTCCAGGATTTCAAACCACTTTCCTCTCCTCCCTAAGGATGAGGTTTTTTGGGCTCTAAATTCCTGGAAAAATCTTAAATCTGGGATTTTTGTGATGATTTTTTCACCTGCAGAATCGCTTCACACCTGGAGCCAAACACCAAAACTCCAACCCCAAAACTGACAATAAAACCTTTATCCAGGCAGGAAAAAAGAGCAGATCCCAGGATTTCACCCTGGCTTCCTCTGTTCCCTAAGGATGAGGGGTTTTTTGTTTCTAAACTCCTGGAAAAATCCTAAATCTGGGATTTCTGTGACGACTTCTTACCTTCACAATTAATTCACACCTGGAGCCAAACACCAAAACTCCAACCCCAAAACTGACACTGAAACCTTCATCCAGGCAGGATAAAAGGGAAGAACCCAGGATTTCAAACCACTTTCCTCTGTTCTCTAAGGAAAAGGGTTTTTTTTCATTTCTAAACTCCTGGAAAATTCCTAAATCTGAGATTTCTGTGACGATTTTTTTCACCTGCAGCATCGCTTCACACCTGGAGCCAAAAACCAAAACTCCAACCCCAAAACTGACAATAAAAACTTCATCCAGGCAGGATAAAAGGGCAGATCCCAGGATTTCTGCCAGGAGGACTGGGCTGGGGAATGCTCACCCTATGAGTCCAGCAGCACAGGCCACCACCCCGTCCGTGTGATCCTCGTCGCCGGCGATGTGGTCGATGTAGGAGAGGATAAATTCCACCCTGGGCTGCACCAGCATCACGTCAGCTGTGGGGTGAGGGGCAGGAAAAAAGGATTGGTCAGAGCTGGAAAATTTCGGGAATGATTTTTTGGCTTCCTAAAATAAGCTGGATGACAGCTGGAGTGGTTGGTCAGGGAGGGAAGGGGAAAATAATTTGGGTTTTTTGGGGTTTTTTTTTGGCGGTGTAGGTACGGAGGGGTTGTGGTGTTTGGTGGGGTAAGGGGGTGGGAGAAGGTTAAAAAAAAATTAAAAAATTAAAAATAAAGGTGAGGGCGGGTTGGTGGAAGATTGGGAATGTCATAGGAATGTGGGGGTGTGGTGTTGGGAGTTAAGGGGATTAAAGGGAAAAAAGGGAATTCGGGGGAAAAAATGGGAAAAAAGGGAAAAAACAGTGAAAAATGAGAATTCGGGGGAAAATAATGGGAAAAAAAGAATTCAGGGGATTAAGGGGAAAAAAGGGAATTCAGGGAAAAAAACAGAGAAAAAAGAGAATTCGGGGAAAAAAACAGAGAAAAAAGAGAATTCAGGGAAAAAAAAACAGAGAAAAAAGAGAATTCAGGGGATTAAGGGGAAAAAAAGGGAATTCAGGAAAAAAAATTGGGAAAAATGGGAATTCAGGGAAAAAAATAGAGGATAAAGAGAATTCAGAGGATTAAGGGGAAAAAAGGGAATTCAGGGAAAAAGAAACAGAGAAAAAAGAGAATTCAGAGGATTAAGGGGAAAAAAGGGAATTCGGGGGAAAAAAATGGGAATTCAGGGAAAAAACAGTGAAAAAAGAGAATTCAGGGACAAAAAAATGGGAAAAAGAGAATTCAGGGGATTAAGGGGAAAAAAGGAACTCAGGGAAAAAAATGGGAAAAATGGGAATTCAGGGGAAAAAAAACCAGAGAAAAAAGAGAATTCAGGGGATTAAGGGGAAAAAAGGGAATTCAGGGAAAAAAACAGAAAAAAGATAATTCAGAGAATTAAGGGGAAAAAAGAGAATTCAGGGAAAAAAGGGAATTTAGGGAGGAATTTAGGAGAATAATGGGGAAAAAAAAAGGGGATGTGGTTTGGAGGTGAACTGGATGATTTTAAAGGAAGGGAAGGAGCAGGGATGTGCCCATGGATGTGACAACCACAAAAGGAGGTTGATGTTGGATATTTGGGAATATTTCTCCATTAGAAAGGTTATAAATATCCCAAAACCTGGTGGGAGTGGGGTACATGGTAAAGATGTGAATACCCCAAAATGAGGTTTTAATCTGATATTTGGGAATATTTCTCTACTAGAAGGGTTATAAGTGTCCAAAGCCCAGGTGGAAATGGCACAGGGGTACATGGCAGGGATTTGACAACCCCAAAATGAAGTTTTAATCTGATATTTGGGAATATTTCTCCACTAAAAGGGTGTTAAGTGCCCCAAAACCCAGGTGGGAGTAGCACTGGCAGGGATGTGAATACCCCAAAATGAGGTTTTTATCAGATATTTGTGAGTATTTCTCCCCTATAAAACTTTTAAGTGCCCCAAAACCAGGTGGCAGTGGCACAGGGGCACACAGGAGGGATGTGAATACCCCAAAATGAGGTTTTTATCAGATATTTTTGGATATTTCTCCCCTATAAAGGCATTAACTGCCCCAAAACCCCATCGGGAGTGGCACAGGGGCACACAGGAGGGATGTGAATACCCCAAAATTGAGTTTTTTATCAGATATTTTTGGATATTTCTCCCCTATAAAGGCATTAAGTGCCCCAAAACCAGGTGGCAGTGGCACAGGGGCACACAGCAGGGATGTGACAACCCCAAAAATGAGTTTTTTATCAGAGAATTGTGAATATTTCTCCCCTAGCAGGGTTATAAATGCCCCAAAACCAGGTGGCAGTGGCACGGGGGCACACAGCAGGGATGTGACAACCCCAAATTGAGTTTTTTATCAAATATTTTTGGATATTTCTCCCCTATAAAGGCATTAAGTGCCCCAAAACCCAGGTGGGAGTGGCACTGGCAGGATGTGACAACCCCAAAATGAGTTTTTTATCAAATATTTTTGGATATTTCTCCCCTATAAAGGCATTAAGTGCCCCAAAACCCAGGTGGCAGTGGCACTGGGGTACATGACAGGGATGTGAATACCCCAAAATTGAGTTTTTTATCAGATATTTTTGGATATTTCTCCCCTATAAAGGCGTTAAGTGCCCCAAACCCCACGGGCAGTGGCCCGGGGGGCACACGGCAGTGGGTGGCCCGAGTGTCAGGACGTGTCCCCAGGGTGGCAGGAGGGGATGGCAGCAGGGTGCCAGCCCGGGCCACTCACGGTGCACGTTCTCCTGGTCTCCCTTGAGGCCCTGGATGATGCCGGTGTAGGCCTCCAGGCAGCCCTCCCGCAGCTCGTTCAGGTAATCCACCATGTCATAGTCGGACTGGGGGGATGGATAAAAGGAAATTTTCAGTTTGGGAGTTTAGGTTTTCCACGTTCTCTGCTCTGTTAGGGTGTAACTTCAAAGTTATGTTGTTCTCGTGGATTAGTTAGAATAATTCTTTCCCAGTTCTAGAATTAAGGGCAGATGCAGCTTCAAAAAGTGTAAAAGACATAAATTAAGGAGAATTTGGGAGGATTGGATTGCAGAACTTGGAGCTGGAATTGGACAATGAACCCCAATATCTAAACGGACCAAAACTGACAAAAGTGTGACAATTGTCACTCTGAATCCATCTTAGATGGAACCACGACCGAGCTCCTGCACTGCCCACAGTGAATCCTTTAAAGGATTCTTAATTTTTCCCCCGTTTTATTCCTTCAACTCTGCCCAGCCTCTGCTCCAGCTCAGCCTCTCCAGGCACCAGGGTGAGACCCTGGGAATGTCCCCTGGGATTGGGGACAGCTCACCTTGTCCACCTGGGCCTGGGATGCCTGCTGGAGGGTGTTGAGCACCACGTCCAGGTATTTCTTGAACTCGCCCCCGATGGCCAGGGCGATGTCCCCGAACACCGAGAGGATCTGTGGCTTCACTGACCTGTGCACGTTCTCATTCTGCAACAAAAGACAAAAAAAAAAAAAAATTAAAAATCCCAAAAGGGTCCTGGATCAGTGTGGGAAGGGGGAAAGGAAAAGAGGGAACGGTCTCAAGGTGCACCGGGGGGGTTTGTGGGGGGTATTTCAGGAGGATTCTCCAGTGGAATGGTGGTAAAATGTTGGAGCAGAAACACGCAGGGGCTGGAAAATGCCTGGGAATGTCCCAGGAATGTGGGAGAGGGAGGGAAGAAAAGGGAGGGATTCAGGAAGGGATAAAGGAATTGGGAAGGAAGGAATTCAGGAAGGAATTTGGAAGGAAGGGAGGGAGGGAGGGAGGGAGGGAGGGAGAGAGAGTGGGAGAGAGGAAGGAATTTGGGAGGAATTCAGGAAGGGATTCAGGGATTCAGAAAGGGAGAGATGCAGAGTGGGAAAGAGGAATGGATTCAGGAAGGGATTCAGGAATTCAGGAAGAGATTCAGGAATTCAGGAAGGGATTCAGGAATTCAGGAAGNGATTCAGGAATTCAGGAAGGGATTCAGGAATTCAGGAAGAGATTCAGGAATTCAGGAAGGGATTCAGGAAGGAAGGAAGGGATTGAGGAAGGAATTCACGAATTCAGGAAGGGAGAGCTGCAGAGTGGGAAAGAGGAAGAGATTCAGGAATTCAGGAAGGGATTCAGGAATTCAAGAAGAGATTCAGGAAGAGATTTGGGAATTCAGGAAGAAATTCAGGAAGGAATTCAGGAAGGAAGGAAAGGATTCAGGAAGAGATTCAGGAAGGGATTCAGGAATTCAGGAAGAGATTCAGGAAGGGACTCAGGAAGGAATTCAGGAATTCCAGAAGGAATCTCTTTAGCACTTCAGGCAGCCGAGAAAGCAGACACTCCCTCAAACCCAAATCCTTTGCCCCCAGCACCTCCCGGCGGCGCTGCCAAACCCGAGACATTCCCGGTGGATTCCTCCCACTTTTCCCAAGTTTCTCCCCACCTCCCACTCCCCAGGGAAGAGTGTGCAGCCGAGTGTTACTCGGGGATCTCCCACTCACCCCCAGGTTCTCCAGGAGCAGCTGCATCACCTCGTCACAGAAGGGGAGGATGTTGGACTGCAGGGCTCGGCACAGGTCCCCCACCAGCCCCACTGCCGACAGGCAGACCTGCAACAGGGACCA